TTTTTTTTTTTTTTTTCTTTTTTCTTTTAATTTTTGTAATAAAGTATGTAAATTTGGTTTTCTTTTTTCAAAAATCAATCTAGTGAAATTTGACCCAAATCTCTAATTTTTTTTCTTTTAAATGCTACCAATTACACCAAACTTGGAGAAGCAAGAAGTGGGAGAAGCATTATAATTCTAAGTCAATACCTAGAAAAGGCAAAGGTATATATATTTATAAGAACTATTTTATGAATTTGAATTGAATTCTAATTGTGAGCCTGAATAAAGGAGGGATACATGAATGTACTGAGGTACATCTAAATACAAGGGTAAGGAAAAAAAAATAAGGTAGTTGAAAAAGGGGGGTGAGAAGTCCGACGACTCGCTGGAATTCTCGCACACTCACCATACGCGTTTCTCCCAGTGCCAAGAACACGCCAATGACCTTTAGTCGCACCTCACAAAATCCACTTGCAAAGAAAATAATATGATACAGAGAGAAAACGAGGGAGAAGAAGAAAAGACTGTTGAGTTACTTTACGACGAGAATGACGTTGACAACCACCCCGTCAAGACTCATGGTGTCGTATAGTATAGATAACACCATGAAAAAGAAGACTAACAAGTTATGGAACACCTTGATGCACATGAGTGATTACTATTAAAATGTGTCGTAACTTTGCTAGCTAAGAGGATGAAAAGATTGCTAGTGCAACTCTCTCTGTGCAGGTTAGAACCTTAGTAGGTATAAAGGGAGATTGGGGGAGAACATTTTACGTGGGGTAGGAAATCACGTCATGATCCGTAGCCAATTTTATAAAAACATTGTGATATAAATAAATAAAAAAAAGGGGGAGTAAAGTGTGAACAAAATAAAAAGGAAAACACAAGGTGGAGAAACACAAATGAGTAAAACAGAGAGGGAAAGAAAATGGAATATCTGAAAAAGTATTAAATTGTTGGTACACCCTATTATGAATACAGTATTTGGATGGTATGATTTAAGTAGTTGACATATTTTTTTTAATTTAAGTAACCAAACACAATTTATAAATAATAAAAACATGGAATTCGAATTTTACTGAGGCAATTAATTGAATATTTAAAATAGGTGAAGCCTCGACATAATTGAAAACAAATTCGAAGTACAAAAGCATACAAATTTGGAGCTAGATAGAACTTTGGCTAATAAGGCCAACCAAGTGGCTTTACTCTCAGTTGGAAGACTTACCTTATGTATGATGATGCTTGCTCAGTAGCCCTTACACGTGTCATTTATGTTTTATGTTGTATGATGATGTGATGATGTTCTATGGGGATGTAATGATGTTATATGATGATGTGATGATGTATATGATGATATGAGATGTTGACATGATGATTGCATGATATGATGACTTGACAGATGGTGATTCGTGATAACATAATGATATAAGATGCATGATGATGAAATGACTTAATATGATGATATTACATATTAAGATGATGTGCATGTATTAAATGTCATGATACATTATGACGATGAGTTTTCTAAGACACAACTCTAATTGATGTTAATGATGATAAACATATGAAGCTCAATGCATGCATGCTACCTAGGGTAATGTGTGAATGATATATAAGGTTGTGTCATAAGAATGATTTAAAGTTGAAAACCATAGGGAACTCATGCATATTGTGTGTTCATATATATCGAGTTACTCCCCCATTTATGATGATGAGTACGGACGCATACACTATGATGATGGTAATCATCATCATGCCTCACATGATATTCAAGAGTTTGCTGACCTCAAGATGTCCGGCTACGAACAGCTAGCCCGACTATGATGGATCCAGGGGGTGCGAACCACTTGGGGACTCATGCTCACACATGTGGGTCGTGTGTAGGAAGTATTATACATCCAATTTTGTTTGGTCTGGAGGCTACCTCTATCATGGTTTTAAAGATAGGTCTCTAATCATGAGTTGCAACTTTCCCTCATACCAATGGGGTCATTTAATGAATATTTTATAAAATACTCAAGCCATGTGCTATTTTTACTTTTCAGGTAAAGGCAAAGCACCCTTGTATGGCTGACAACGACATCACAAGTAAAGACCGTCATATGTATAGAATAGTTGTATTTAAATTCTTAGACCATAGGTTAGTAGAAGACATTTTTCAATTTTAATATTTACTTTGTTTTATTTTATATTTTCATTAGGTTGCTTTAAAGACTTTTTGAAACATGTAAGTCCATGACAATGTTTTATGATGATGTTTGAAATGCTTATTTTCGCATAAAAGATGATGTTAGGAAGATGGTATATATATATATATATATATGAACAATATGAAGTATCAATATGAACAAAATATATATATACATATATACATAAAAGCTAACACCATAAAATTTGTGAATGACACGTGTTAAAATAGAGTCGAGCACAATAATTGTACGATTCCATCCATATCTATTTTAGTAAAATGATTTAGATATTTTAGAATAAATATAACTAGATATTTTAAGAAAGAGATAGATATTTTAGGAAAAAGATTTAAATTTTCCAGGAGTAGATTAGGTAGACTCGAGTATAAATACCCCCCTACCTAGGTTTTCATCCCAAGAAGTATAGAGCAGTAGTATTCTACACAGTGTCTTGTAATCTCTTCTCGATTAGTCTTAATAGAGAGTGCAAGTGTTTCCCACAGAGAGTTGTGTTCAACAATTTGGTATCAAAGCGAGGTTAGTGTAGGTTGTCTGATTTCTTGGAATTCTTATACTCTTGGTTGCAGCTCTGTATGATCTTCCACATCAGAAACGATTTCTTAAGATTATTAGTGAGCGAGTTTCTTTGTGTCGTGAATAGTCCGTGACTCTGCAAGTTTTGTGTCGAAAAGATTTGTTTCGTATTACTGAGGTATTGCCAACACAATGGGTGACTTCCAAATCATAGGAGGAATCAAGAAACTCAACAACAACAACTACAACACGTGAGCAACATGCATAATGTCCTATTTACAAGGATGGAGATCGTAAGAAGAAGTGAAACTACATCGCCGGAGGAGGATTCTAACGACGCCTTGCGCAAATGGAGAATCAAAGCAGGAAAAACAATGTTTGCCTTGAAGACCACAATCGAAGAAGAGATGTTAGAGCATATTTGGGATGACAAAACACTGAAAGAAGCATGAGACATATTCGTGATGTTGTTCTCAAAGAAGACCTATACAAGGCTACAACTTCTGAAGAACGAGTTGTTGCCAGTTTTACAACGTGACATGACGATTGCTCAGTACTTCCATAAAGTCAAGTCGATTTGCAAAGAGATTACTGAACTAGACCCGAAGTCTGCCATTGGAGAATCTCGAATGAAAAGGACAATTATCCACGGGTTACGACCAGAATATAGAATCATTGTTGTTGTACAAGGATGGCCCACTCAACCATCACTTATAGAGTTTGAAAATTTGTTAGTAAGTCAAGAAGCCATGACTAAACAAATGGGAGACATTACATCACATTGATGGGTGAAGAAGAAGCACTCTACACAAGTGAAAGCCGGAGAAATAATAAGTCGTCTACCAAACGTGGCTATAAAAAAAGGTGACAAAAGAAGAAGACATCAAGGAACTACACAACCTGAGAGAGCTCAGAAGAATGACAAGAGTTCTTAAGAAGAGAGATTTAAATGTAATTACTACCATTTCGGGAAGAAGGGCCACATGTCCAGAGATTGTTGGTCCAAGAAAAAATTTGTAGAAAGTAATGTGACATCTTCCAACATAGAGATTGAGGAGGAATAGGATGCAGAGGCAATATGTGACATAGAAAAAGATGAGCTAGTGGTCATGGAAATGATGAGAGAACATATTGATTACGAGGATGGCTGGATCATTAATTCAGGATACTCAAACCACATGATTGACGATCAGAGTGGTACAATGTAAGCGGAGTGATCCTCAGAGAAGCAAGTATTACTAGGCTTGGACAACAGTGGAGAACTTCTTCCTCAGAAGATGGGGGAGAAAAATGAAGAAATTCTTCCACAGAAAACGGGGAAGCAAATTGAAGAAATTCATCCATAGAAGATGGGGAGCAAACTACGCACATTCAGTCAAATGTTGACGTGTTTGAATATCCAAGTGGACACTAATGTTGGTGAGCAAGGAGTGACTCAACCAAGCGAAATAATCCAAAAGTCACTCCTTAGACGGTTAGAAATAATCCAAAAGTCAATCCAGAGTATGCCAACGCAACTATTGTATAAGACGGAGTTTATGAACCAGAGATATATGAAGAAGTATCACAAAAATTAGCTTGGCAGAAAGTGATGGAGGAAGAAATTATAGCCCTGGAGCAAAATCAAACTTGGTTACTAGTGCCAAGGTCAGAAGATAGATTTAACTTCTGCAAGTGGATTTACAAAATAAAGTATACCCCTGATAGATTTCGTGAGATACAAAACTCAGATTGTAGA